TTTAATTATTGTTTTAAGTAATTTATAATATAATTGATTGATACAGATATGACTGCTCTGGTATTAGTTCTTTAGTCACTTTCCCTCTATTTAAAGTTGGGAGCTTTATTGGGAGCAGTAGTCATCCCAAGCTTGCCTGTTATTTCCTAGCTATTTGTAGCCCTTCCCTGCAGTTTAAGTTAATGCATCAGGGCAAATTTCTCTGTGACTGAAATTATAAGTTAGAGACCTACTTGCTTTGGTAGGCAATGACCTTTGTCTGTTTTTTCAATTTGCTCTGATTTTAGCAGTTAATAGCCAAGTGCCCCAATGTCAGTCCTGAATGGAGAGAAAGCAAGCTATGATTTATTTCCATGACAGTCGATGCACTTCACAGCTTTACTGATGGCATCTGGGGGTTGCTTTGGTCAGCTTAATTTTTGCTGGCCTTTGATTGCAAACTCTAACAGGCTGAACACAAATTTAACATTTCACTCTTCTCAGTGGGTATATCTACATGTGCACTTTACGGTGGAGTTGACTAATTAGCTCCACAACAAAGTGTTACCAACTACATGTGTGCTGGTATTAGGGCACAGTAAGTTAATTAACTCTGCCATTATGGACAATTCTATCATACAGCAAAGCCATTTATTGTGCTGCAATGCGTGTGTGGACAGTGATTGGGACAGAAGTACTTTAAGCCAAGGTAGAGTATCCTTGGGCTGGCAGCAGGCCCAGGAGTCAGCCACAGAGCTCCCAGGGCTGCTCCACCTTAGCTCAAAGTGCTGCTGTCCTGTGCATACATGTAGATGTTGCACCTGGAAGCAGTATACTCTGGAGCAAATGGCTCCAGAGTTTATCACATCGCATTGATTGCATGTGTAAGTGCACCCACTGAGTGGTGAAGCTCTACTTTATTGCTATAACCATGCTAATCCCCCTGGAATATACTTATGTCTGGCAAATATTGCATTTCAAAGGCTTATTGTTACATCAGTGGCAAAACAAGTCAGGCTGGCACCCAGAGCCAACTCTGTGGGATAGTGGGGGGATGGGGGACCTACAGGTCTGATAGTTGGGAGTGGGGAGGTGCTGGGCAGGAGAGCAGCAGCCTTACCCATGCTGGGAATTTCTAAACAGTCCTGGCTGAGCTGCTTCCCCCACACATGCTCTGTGCACCTGGCTGTCACTCTTATAGTAACAGTGGCCAGGAACTGTTTTGGAGTTCCCAGCATGGCAATGCTGTTGGGGCATGAACTACCTGCAGAGTGCCTTTACAACCAAGTTATAGGACATTCTATAAGTACTCTAAGGGAGAGATACTCTTCTTGCTCCAATATCTCTTTATATATCTTTGCACAGAACAGCCAATAATCAGAATACTTAAGCAGTCCCTCAAGGAGGGACCAGAACCCAGGTTTCACTCACCCATCAAGTGAGTGTCCCAATCACTAGGCTAGAGAGTCATTTTACTGCTTCCTTGTTCTCTTTCTGGCCCAGTACATCATCAATTTTTTTCTGTTCAGTGGAACAGTCTCAAGGGGAGGGGTGAAGAGTATTCCCACAACAGAGCAGCCTATAGCTTTGTGTTGCAAGGTGCTCTCCTCACCAATTATATTTTGAACGAAAAGGCTGAGCTCTGATTTTGAAATATAGGTTATAGACACCTGCTTTCATAGTTTCATAGTTTCTAGGGTCGGAAGGGACCTGAGCAGATCATCTAGTCCGACCCACTGCCATGGCAGGAAGAACACTGGGGTCAAATGACCCCAGTAAGGTGGTCATCCAACCTCCTCTTAAAAACCCCCAGGGTAGGAGCCTGCACCACCTCACTTGGAAGCTGGTTCCAGACCCTAGCCGCCCTGACCGTGAAGTAGCGCCTCCTGATGTCCAACTTAAACCTTCCCTCCGCCAGCTTGTGACCATTGTTCCTGGTCACTCCTTGCGGCGCTCGGGGGAACAGGGACTCCCCCAGCGCCTGCTGATCCCCCCTAACCAGTTTATAACAGGCCACAAGATCCCCCCTCAGCCTTCTCTTTTGAAGGCTGAACAGGTTCAGGTCCCGCAACCTTTCCTCATAGGACCTACCCTGCTGCCCCTTGATCATACGAGTGGCCCTCCTCTGGACCCTCTCGATGCTGTCCACATCCCTCTTAAAGTGTGGCGCCCAGAACTGGACGCAGTACTCCAGCTGTGGCCTGACCAGTGCCGCATAGAGGGGGACGATCACCTCCTTGGACTTGCTCAAGATGCATTTCAGAAGACAGTTATGTACTGTGTTGCCAGTTGAAGGAAGGTACCTCCCTGCAGCTCAAAATTAGGCACGTAATCCTAGAGAGGGGGAACATTTAAGAGAGATCTCTGGGCTCAGCTATTCCTATTACCATATTTGCTTGAATCCAAGATGAGGGGGCCTCATATGACATGGGGAAAAAAAGTCCTTCGCCTTGGAATCAAGTGTGAAGCTGCAAGGGGCAGCCAGCTTCTGTGGCTCTGGCTGTGGCCCTGACCCTGACTCTGCCATCTCTCTGCCCCCAGTCTTTCCCTTTTGCCCCTGAGATTTAATGTTGCTCTTCACTGGCAGGTTGTGTCCCAACTCCACCTTGAGGCAGGGAGCATGGCCCCAGCCCAGACTAGTAGCTTGGGTGAGGGGAGACAGGGGGAAGGGGGCTGGGGGCCCAAAGCTGCAGAGGGACAGGTGGGGGAGGTAGGGAAGTCTGCAGCGGAGCAAGCACAAAGGGAGTTAGGAAAAGTGATGGCAAGTGGGGGGAGCATTGGGCAGGGGCCATAGCTTCAAGTACCCCTTCCTACCACCTGCTCTCACTGCTTCCTACCACCTACCCCCTACCACCTTCCCCCCTGCCTGTCCCCCCGCTCCCCCATCTCCTGCTATTGCTTTCCCTGCTGCAGCAGTGGGGAGTACACATTTAAGATTACCCACTAATAATTAGTTCTATACATGGAAAATCATAACAAATGTATACATTTTCCATAAACAGAATGTAATTATTGGGGGGGTCATCTTAAATTTAGGATTGTCTTGGATTCAGGTAAATATGGTATCTAGGCAGTTCCACATTCCATGTGTTAGGTGTTGGGAGTCTTACTCTGAGGTGTCTAGCTTTTCCTGTGCCTCCTAGAAAGTTCTTTCTTCCCTATAGGGAGTCTAGGGTAACATAATAATTCACCCTGGGAGTTGCACATCTAAAAGGCCGAAGTTCTTAATTTCATAGATTTCATAGACATTAGGTCTGGAAGGGACCTCAGAAGAACATTGAGTCCGGCCCCCTGCCCGAGGGAAAGGAAGTGAGCAGGGGTCATAGGATCCCAGCGAGATAAATATCCAAATTTCTCTTGAAGGCATTCAAAGTAGGTGCTTGAACCACCTCCAGTGGCAGGCTATTCCAGACCTTGGGGGCTCGGACAGTAAAGAAGTTCTTCCTTATGTCCAGCCTGAAATGGTCTTGGAGGAGTTTATGACCATTCGACCTTGTCATCCCTTGGGGTGCTCTGGTGAACAAACGTTCCCCCAGATACTGGTGAACACCCCTTATAAACTTATAGGCAGCCATCAGATCACGCCTGAGCCTGCGCTTTTCTAGGCTGAAGAGTCCCACATCTCTCAGCCTCTCACCATAAGCTCTGTTTTCCTGATCTCTGATCATGCACGTGGTTCTTCTCTGGACTCTCTCAAGCTTCTCCACATACTTTTTGAATTGTGGAGCCCAAAACTGGACACAGTACTCCAGCTGCAGCCTCACCAAGGCTGAGTACAAGGGGAGAATGACGTCCCGGGATTTGCTTGAGAAGCATCTATGGATGCAAGCCAGCGTTTTGCTCATTTTACTAGCAGCAGCATCACATTGATGGCTCATGTTCATCTTGCAGTCAGTCATGACCCCCAAGTCCCTTTCATCCATAGTGCTAGCCAGCGTAGCATTGCTGAGCCTATAAGCATGTTGCCGGTTTTTTTTCCCAAGGTGGAGAACCTTGTAATTTAGCCTCTAGAAACTATAGTCAAATAGGAGTAAACACAAAATAGAGACCAAATACAGTATTTTGGCTCCAGAAGGAAAGGAGTTCATTGCCACTGGATTTCTACTATAAAATTATTACATTTGGGCTAGTTGGTAATTATTTTTCCCTGTGAAAATAAATTATGAAAGCCTACAAGTTTTTACTCTTGTAATGCTGACATTTTTCTTTACATTTTTTTAGTTCTTATCCAACAGGAAGATTTTTTTTTGTCACCTGAAAACTTAAAAAGTCTGTTTTTGAATTTTCACTAAACCCCTAACTACTTTTTTTAATGAAAATTGATTTCTGTGATATCTCTCCTTAATGGAACTTTTTTTTTTTATAAAGATCACTATGACAGAAAGTTTTCAAATTTAAACATAAAGAGTGTGAAAGCTACTTGAAGAAAATCCTTCTGTCATCTCTCATTTACATTTCAACGTACACTTTGCCTTATGCACTTCTTGACGAAGAGACAGGGTAAAGTTAATTATTAGCAATATGCTTACTTTACAGAAGCAACTGCTTAGGTTGACAAGAAATCCTTTCAATGCCACAAATTATTTTATCTGTCAGAAACACTCATGCTTGTGCTGCTCTGGGTGGATCAGGCGATCAACAGTGTGTGACCAACAAACTCATTATTTCAGTACAGTTCATATTTGTATACAGTACTTTGCTTCTTTCTTGGACCTGATGAAGCATGCTTGAAGCCTGGAAGCTTGTCTCTTTTCTCTCCAAACAACTTAAGATGGTCCAGTAAAAGATATTACCTCACCTCACAAAACTTTGCATTCAAACATGTCATTTTAAATGAAGTGAGGGAGAAAGAAAATAAACATTTAAATGCATCAAATGGCAAACCAATAGAAGATTTTGGTGACATGTTAACAGTAGCTACAACAGAATAACTGTAGTGCTTCTCCTTATTTTTTAACAACTGAAGCAACAAATGGCATCAGTTTTAGCATTTATTTAAACATAGGTACTGTAATACTGACCAACAGATGTGTCCTCTGAAAGGCTGAGAAGTGCCATGTTCCCATTTGTGCTGCTTGGTCCATTATCAAAGAAATAGGGGGCATAATTTGCATGAACTGAAATTAAAACAAAACAGAACCTGAAGAAAAATACGTAATAATAAACTGCAGTAACCTGGTTTTTTTCTACTCTGCCTCTCAGCATAAAAAAAATACAATTCCTTGAGGGAATAATATGAGTGAATAGCATAACCAATTATGCTAATGAACTTTTTCCCTTTCAAAATAAAGATATATTACCTGTACAAATAAATTATACCTGTATAGTATACACCAGCTTATGAAGAACGTGAATTAAAAAAAAGAAACACAGGACCCTTCTGAAGAATCTCAAACCTTCAAAAACTGATTCTTGCAAAATTAACCTTCACTGCCACTCACCATAACTGTAAACAGCTCCTTTATGTTGTGTGTTTGACATTTTACTATTGGGTAAGCAACCGATCCAATAGTCTAAACATATTGTTTTAAATTATGTCTACTACATGAGCAATAAGCCATAATTAAACAGTTACTTACTTGCTGCCAGATAACAGCAAAGTTAAAAAAAAACAACAAAAGCAACAAATTAGTTGTCATGCCACTCACTGACAGTTATAGAATCAAAATAGCCAATTTGAAACAAAATGCAAATATACAAACATACAAACATAATATTTACACATTGAACAGTATTTCAGGAAATAATTTGAGATCCACGTTACCACATCAGTAAGGATTATTACAAGATTTAAGGTTATTCCATATCCTATATATTTAATTGACAAAGTGATTTGTTGTACTCACCCAGGCAAACATGCATTGAACAGAGAACTAACAATGGAGTGAAATGCCTTACATGCTTCATCCCACCGAAGAAAGGGCCAGTTTCTTCTCTGATTGAAGGTTTGTTTTGGTTTGGTTTGGGGTTTTTTTTTCTGTCTAAAGGGACTGAAAGTGTCCTTCAGACTGGTGCGGTGATGAAATGTGTGAGGCAGGAACAGATGTTAAGATGTTAAGCGGATGACACGTCTTAATTTCTGAGGAATTTAAAGAAGCTCCTTCCTACCACCTAATTAGACCAATTACTTTGCAGGGAACTGTGGGACTCATTTCTGAGACAAGGCATGGAGGAAGCAGCATCACTCTCAAAGGGTCTGTTGTTTGTATTGTACTTATATTGCCTAATGAACCCCTCTTGACTTCCTGAACATACAAGCCAGAAGGAAGGTAAAATTCAGTTTTTTAAATGCATCTTTTATTTTCTAATTTACTCTTCTGTTTTCTAAGAAGTTATATGGTTTTTATTTATTTTACATTTAAACTAACAAGTAAGAATTTAAATATATAAAATGGTAAGCAGTAATACCTTAATATTGACACTTTGAAAGGAGTCTGTCACAGCTGTTAAAGCAGAAAATATCATGTACAGAAGCCATCAGTTGTTCTTCTGTCCATGAAATAGCCTAAAGACATTAATTAAAAAGTACTTGGATTTCTATTAGGTTTTTGATGCATCCTTTAGAGCAAGTTAATTTTTGACCAACACACTGCATTTTTCACCAGTATCCCAAAGAAAGTACCAATGAAATAGGTTTTGTATGCAATGTTGTCTGTTTTATTCAATTAAAACATGAATTTTTAGAGGGCACTTTATTTACAATAATTTAAAAAACCTAATTCAGTAAATGGAGGTAGAAGAAAGCCACACTGCAAAGTACTTCTACATAGAACTTAAGAGGAACCTGGCAAATAGTAATGCTTAGATACCTCCTGGGACATGTGTGAACTGTGATGTACCCTTGAAATTGTTTAATGGAGAAATTATTTCCTTTTTAGGAATGCACTCATGTATTTTGCAATGATTTTTTTAATGAATGGAAGATATGGTACTGAGAACACTTATAACTTAGTAAGAAACCACATTTTGTCAAGATATTTTAATACATCATTTTGCTTTTCAGGTGTGTTGTAAGTTTTATTTTCTTCTGACAGATATGAACTGAATGGGACTGGGAAGAAAGGGCATTTGGAGAGAGAGCCACATCACCACACCTGTTATCCCCAAAGGTATTAAGTAACATTCTTGTTAGTTCTCAGTAAAGGCAGAAAATGCCAACCAATCACAGAATTAATGAACCTTTAATTGTCTAAAGGTGGTTTTCTCTAGATCATGCCCATTGGTCTTAACCCATAGCACAGCATTTAAGCACATGCATAATTTTAGAAGGACAACCAGGAAGCATTTTTCTGGGTTGCTCCATTGGTGGTGCTATGGAGAATTTGTTCAGTTCATAGAATCTTACCATGGAACAGCTTCAGGTTCAGAAAGATACTAGTCACATCAACACAGGAACTGAACCAATGGAAGACTTTTGACTTCTTCCTTAATCACTTCCCTCCTTAATCATGGAGCTGTCTCTAAATAGAGCAGCCACAGAAGACTAGGAAGAGTGGGAGGAGGAAGATGTTCTGTAGAGGTGGCCTCTTTTCTTCCTTAGGAGCTCTATATTTTTGTCCCTTCTGACAACAATTCATTTTGCCCCTAAAGTAGGGCTGTGCAAAGCTTCGGTCCCTGATTCGATTCAGCCCGATTTGGTAGCTGAATCTCCGAATCAGAATCGAATCAGGAGACACTTTAATCTTTCTGAATCGAATTGGAACCCTCCAAATTGATTCAGAGAGATTTGGGAAGATTCATGAGCTGCACCTGGTACCTCGAGGTATGTAGAAAAAACATTTAAAGCTGTGTCCGTGGCTGAATCCCAATTCTCTGAATTGGCTTCGAATCTTCAGATTTGGATTTGGCCGAATTGAATAGGGGACAGTGATCCAAATCAGCTAATTGAATCACTGTCCCTGATTCGGGCCAAATCCTAATCCAAATCGAATTGAATACAGCCCGTTTCACACACCCCTACCCTAAATCTTTTTCAACAATACAAAGTGCATTGAGAAATAGACCTTGATAAACATATATAATTCTCAATGCATATACATATAATTCTCTCTTTCGCTCTAGGGGGGTGTGTGTGTGTGTGTGCGCACGCGCTCACATATCCACCCCTTCTTTAACACCCAAAGACACCAAGAAGCCAGAATCTGGGAGACGGCTTCAGAAAAGAGATACTGGTGGTAAAGATGCATTGTCCTGGAGCATTCCCAAATTCTCCTGTAAAAGGGTTTCCTGGCCTGCAGGAACAATTTCCAGTGAAGAATATTGCACATCTCTATAAAATTTGTAATGGATTGTATGCCTCTAACATGATAAATAGGATATGAAAAATATAGTAGTTCATTATTTCCATCATCTCTGGGTAACTCTAGAGTGCTCTGAAAGTTGTATTAATAATATTAATTATTTTTCTTACCCACAAAGACAGCAACACTAAAATAATGCTGAGTAATAACAACATACAAAATCACCTACATGCTGTCCAGGAAAAAATAAGTGACCTGTCTATCACCTGGAGAGATGAATGTCAGGCTGGCAGCAACAACACTGGTTTCTTGAGAAAAGTGAGGCTTGATGTATAGCTCAAAAGGAAGTGTAACAGTGCTGGCTGGGGTAGTTAGTACCAATATACAAACTAAAATACATGCAGTCCTCAGATTTACAACACAATTGGTTCCTGAAAACCGTGTCTTAAGTCAAATCATTGTCACTCAGAAACAAATTTCTCATAAGAAACAATGTTATAAATGGGGGATTGGTTCCTGAACCAAGGTCTGATACCCTATTTTCACCAAAAATACCCCAGAATTTTGTACTCAATCACTTATAGATGAGTAATATAGCCACATTAATGTATTTTTATTGTAAATAGTAATCATACTGATTTGGAAGAACTTCTTTGAGGTGACTTTGCTGCACTTTTTGAAGGGCTCTCGGCTGGAGTCTTCTCAGCAGTCTTGGCTGCAGGTTTTTCTGGAGTCTTGTCTGCTTTCTTAAAGAAAGTGTCCAAGGAAGTTTGGACAGATGTTCTCCAGGGAGATGAGCAATGCAGCGAACTTGTTTGCTGGCATGGCATCCTATTGGATCAAGCATTGCAGAGTCAAAACTGATGTCATAAAGTTGAAACAGGGTCCCAGTTTATAAATGTTGTAAGTGTGAAATGTTGTAACTCGAAATGTTGTAAGTTGAGGACTGCCTGTATGCTGCCTTTGGTGAAGTTGAAGAGAATTGTGTTGTGAGTAAGAAATATAAAGAAATGTATCTTTGCAAAAGCTTGATCTTGATTTGTTCATTTTTGCTGTCTTGTTTTTTCAGATTCTTTCCATATCTCACCTCCTTTCTCCTAGCAGGTCACATTCTAAAAGTCTTGAGGGAATGGTTTAACTCCAATGAAAGAAAACAAAAAACTTTTTCTTACAGGGTAACTTACCAGCAAAGGAGGTAGGAAGCTTCCTCTTTAGTCTCTTAGACTATGAACAGACATCACATTTGTTCCTGGACAAGCTGTACATATGTTTGTCATAGAACAGAAATATCTCAGGATTGGTGTGTACGTGCATCACCCTTCTAATGAGGGTTTAGTGAGCTTGAATACATTGCTTCTTTTATTCCATTGATTCAATGATGCAATCGAGGTATAACTATTCAGACACACTTTGTGATGTCCTGGGATAAACTGATAGAACTTTTTATCCCATGAACCTTTTTAGGATTTATCCGAGGTTAATGGTAATGCATGTTTGAACAACTGTACTTTTGTCCTGGGATAAAATGGCTTAATCTGGGCCAATGTAACATCTGTTTTGGATTTTCAAAGCATCTGGGTAAAAGATTCTTACTGGAAGCATCTACGCATACATTTGATCTGGAATCAGTTTACTTGCAAGTAAACTACCTGTGAGTAAATTCTTCTGGGCAGGCATCTACATGCTAATGGCAGCAAACTGCTTCTGCTTCCTGGGGCTGTGCAATGGGCCCCTGCTGCCATCAGGGGGAGCTCTAGCCCCTTCCTAGGTGTTAGCCTAGGGTATGGCAGGGAGCACTGGGCTAGGAGACAGCTGTCTTCTGGCTGGGCCCAGGACATTACACTGTTCCCCCTGGGGCTGCCAATTAGGGGCAGGAGACTTGGAAAGAGCTGCAGAGAAGGGGCTGGGAC